AGAATACGGTTCAAAACCTGCATTAAATAAAGGTTAATAGTTAACCTGTTATTTATCTAAGATGTCGTTCCGAAGAGTTTTGTGACTGCCAATGGAATACAAAGTCAATAATTCGTTTTTCTGATTTACCAGTCATTGTCCAAAAGTCAGATTGCCGCCTTTGATAATAGTCGACTCATATATTCGAATAGGGCAAACTTATTTCATGCTCTCGACATTCAATTTAGTTTGATGAATGGAACTTCTATTGGAAAATTCTAACGTTGTTTGACGTTTTTTTATTACTGTAAAGGAAGTGATTGAATATTATAATTACTTACATAAAATGGTCTGTCGTCAGACTACAGTTTCTGTGGTCAAATAGTTCTATTAGCATCGACGACTGGCGAAAACTGAAGAAAGCCTGTTATTTATGTGTGTAATTGTGTATGTATATAGTCTGATATATTATGTATTAGTGTTTTTATTTATTATTGTTACTATTATTGTTATTGTGTACTGTATCAATAAGTAAATTGATTAGATTGTACTTTTCTACCCACCTATGTAAAGCTCACCTTTTTTAAGAACGGTTAGCTGGTAGATAACTCAATTGTTGAGTTAAGCTCGCCATTTTTATAACTTTTCGTAATTATTATATTGTTTTAACTGTAAACAATAAAGAATAAAAAAAAACACTTTCAATATACTTACACTATTAAGAAAATTAGGTAGTTCTCTTACTGAAGTTCTGTAGTTAATAGAAACAAAGATAGTCCAGACAGACGAATCAGTCCCAATTGATTTTCAATTTGTTCGATCCGCTTACGTAATGGCGGGTGATAATCGATTGCAAAATTACCACGAATCGAAGATTGAATTACTTCGTAAACAAACCACTAGTTGAGAATAACTGGGTCATACAGTTGCTTCTTCGATTACTTTTCACACTGTCAAGACTGAGTACATATGTCATTATGATGGAAGATTATCAGGCTGTCAAATGCTAGGATAGTATTACAAAATAATTAAGGTTTCAGACAAAAATTTTAAAGGTTAATTGGAGAGCTAAACACAGGCATTATGAGCACACCTAAGGATTAAGCCCCAGAAGTATCCTTCACTTATAATCACAAAATCACTCATGATCTGGCCACCTTTGATCTGCAATCGTGCCATTTTCCCGAATTTGAAAATATCCGATAATCTTTTGTGATTAAAGACATACCACCGTTTTTACTGAATTAAGAATAAGTTAAATTGGAGTCTGCCGATGACATTTTCATTACACGATACAAATAGACTAGCGTCGGGTCTGACCTACATACATTCGGACTGTTTCTAATTTCGTTACAGCCGTCAAGCCGTTCAGTGACAAAGCCTATTCTAAATTTAAACCGTAAGATAGTTATTTTAGAGGCTATTCTACAGTGAATAAAAAAAATTACATACTTCTTAATTAAAGTTAGCTGTATATATGAAATATCATCATCATCATTATCCTGCCCTTTTCCCAGTCACCTGGGGTCGGCACAACATGTTTTCTCCTTCCATACTCTTCTATCATATACCATTTCTTCGCTCACTCCCCTCCTACCCATATCGTCTTTCACACAAAATATATATATATAAGCTGTATATATGAAATATCTTCCTTAATTTTCGTAAATGTTCAGAAGTTTTAAGTCTTATTTTGTGTTATTAAAACGACCCTCCTACTCCTTAAATTGGAAAGTGGCAGTAATAGGGTGATGGTAGAATGCCGTATGCGCTACCACCACTAAAATGATTTCATTTTTTATTTTTTAACTCAGTTGTATTTGATAACCACTTACACCTTTAAAGCATGACAGCTTCTCGAATGAAAGAATACCCTCATTCCATCTCACCGTCAATTCCACAGCAACAGCTCAGAGCCAGGAAGTTCAATGCTTGAACGTGTAACTAGCTATTTTACTGGTGGCAGGACGTCTTGTGAGCCCGCACGAGTAGGTACTACCACCCTGGCTATTTTTACCGTGAAGCAGTAATGCATTTCGGTTTGAATAGCGGGGCCACCGTTGTACTGTAAATTGGAACTTAGGACTCATGTCTCAAGATGGGCGGCGGCATTAACGTGGCTGTAGTCTATGGGCTCCGGGATCGTTTAGCATCAGGTGGGCCGTGGGCTCGTCCAATCAACTTAGCAGTAAAAAAAGAATTAATTACAAATACAGCGTCCTATAGTGTATTTATTAAAAAAACTGTATATTAGATTATTCTTATTGTTTTTCCAAAGACGATATTTGTCTTAAGTGTGCGGAAATACATTGGAAAAAACAATGCACAAAAAATCTATGAAGGGATAACATTATCCGAGTTCATTGAATCGAGAGGGTGCATATAGACGTCGGGATTATTTTGTTCAGCGAATTATTTTTGTGCGAAGTACTTGAGTTATTATTCAAATAATACAGATATGAAGAAAGAAAGTTTATTTTGCAGCAGCAGCAGCAGCAGCCAATAAACAAAATTAAACAAAATTAAATGTTTATTCATTCTAGTAAACAAATTACGATGTTAACTACGAATTATGCATCTATTACATTGTATTCTTCAAATAAGTTTTAAGTAACAAAAACCCGTAAAATTGTAGGATGTATACCTACCTTATGTAGATAGCAGCGAAAGCTATTATTATCCAGCCTAATAATAGATGGCGCCAAAATGATTTGCTTAACAATTACAATACTTAATTAAATTATTACTGTTAATTATAATATAATTTATTATAAATATTTATGTTTTGTTGTTTTATTAATATTTAATTATTTATACAGACATTTGTATTTTTAAACCATAAAATGAACATTAAATATATTCTGAACATTTTCACATCAAAACAGTGTCTGCTAAATATTAAATATGGTAGAATAACAGTTTCATGTTGCTAATATTATTTCTGCCGTGAAGCAGTAATGTGTTTCGGTTTGAAGGGTGGGGCAGACGTTGTAACTATACTTGAGACCTTAGAACTTGTATCTCAAGGTGGGTGGCGCATTTACGTTGTAGATGTCTATGGGTTCCAGTAACCACTTAACACCAGGTGGGCTGTGAGCTCGTCCACCCACCTAAGCAATAAAAAAAAAAAAAAAAACATAAACTAAACTATATATCTTGTTAATTATTGCCAAATAGTGGCGTTTGCGCCCATATTTACTTAGTATCCCTTTATAGGCAAACGAGAATACGGCTCACCTGGAAGACGATTGTTACCGACGCTTGTGGATGTCAGTAATGCCAGGTGTATACCCAAGCTAATGCCCACAGAGATAAAATGAAAATAAAAGGGTGCGTGTACTTATGTACGCCCGTAAGAAGTTATACTTTATTGAAGTGAAACTTCCTTATCGGCGTTGGAAAAAAATTTACCGTCACATTTTTCGGTTACGCGTCACATTTTTCCGTTACGCGCCATCTGTTTTGTATTCATGTCTATGATAATAAAATCCTTTTGTTTAAACTTTATCTAATTTAACTTTTTTGTATTCATGTCTATGATAATAAAATCCTTTTGTTTAAACTTTATCTAATTTAACTTTTTTGTATTCATGTCTATGATAATAAAATCCTTTTGTTTAAACTTTATCTAATTTAACTTTATTTAACCAATTTCTAGAAAGTTGCATGTAGATCATTTTTCGAAAAATAAGGCCATAAATAAGTTTCACTTCTTACGTGTGTACACTAGTACACGCACACATTTTTTTTTATTAAATTTATTTCTTTTTTTATTATTTAAATTTTAATCAATTTGAAAAAAAATTGATTAAACAACATCCTCAATCACGCATATTGGACATCACTTTTCTTGACATCGTATAAATTCGGTAATTCTCGGTACGGCTCGGAAAGTTCACCTGCGGCTATATTCAGACTCGCCAAGTTACGTCTGTCGTATTGTAATGAGCGATTTAGTGGGCAACTTCATTCTGTTAATTTTGTTTCACGGCGCGCGTATCGTAAAATTTCACTCTCATCAATTTTTCATAACGCGCCTAAAGAAGTATAACTTCAAAATGAAAAACTATTCTTACTAGAAATTTTATATAGATTACTTAGCACTTCAGGGAACTATTTTGACCGTGACAGTACATATCTAACATTTAGAGATAGTCACCGCAGAACAAGGCCGGATTTAACTGGTCATTTACAAATATAATCACCCTGTAGCTGTAGGAAAAGGCTCTTGTTTTGTCTATTTATTGCCCAAAAAAAGTACATCTGTATTCCCTGTATTATTCTCTATTTATGTGCCTATATTCCTGTTGTGAATGTTAGAGCAGGAGAAACATTTCTGTTTTACTAAGAAGGAATTGTCACTGTACTTATTGTTCTCCTTGTCTCTAACTAACGTTTTTCATTGCTATTTATACGACTTAAAATACTTATAAAACATCAGAGTTTCTATTGAAAAGTCAGTTACAAAAAAAAAACGGAAACGTAACAGCAAGTCGGTAATATAATAGACCTTTATAGCATGAAGCCGTATTTTCAGACTAGTTCGGACGACATTTCAAAATGAATTACATAGTAGCTTTCTATTTTTGTAAAATATTGCCCACGTACATTCTATTGTGAAGCTTATAGATCGGACAAACAATTAGCTGCAATGATGACGTCAAATTAATTGAAGATTCACGTGTAGCCCGTGTACGGATGTGGGTGTGACATAGAGATATTAAAACTGAAAATCAATTTATGTGATATCAAAATTAGAATAAATTTAAATAGCGTTATATTACGATTTTTTAGTCAACCAGTTTTAAATTTTGAGAAAAACATGACCAAATTTCCTAATAAACGAAGTTTTCTATTCCAAATTGAAGCCGTTTTTTTTTTGATTAAGATTTTCCATAAAGAAAAATAATTTGCCTAACTAACAGCTCTATGAATATCCGCCCACTGCTTTTGAGTTCGGGGTTGAGACTGGCTGTATAAGGGCAGCCGCGTCATTCGTTGCCTCACTTGTGCTTCAGCTCGCCACCCGATCACACGGGCAGGCGTTGCGACACAACTTACAACCCAACGACCGCGCGTGTACGTATTAAACAACTTAACATTATATTTTCAAAAATTTAAATGTAATAAATTGATATAATATAGCTAGCTCCCTAATAGATTTTTGGTGTGTGTTTGTAGGCGATATTCCGGTAAGTCACTATTAATTTTTTTGTCATGTGTGTAATTTGTCTCGGTCTTGTAAAACTTGGTAATGGGCGAGGTTGGAACTCTGCCATTGTTGTTTTTCCATTTGGGAACAATTAAAAAATATATTTCGATCCTCATTTAAAAAAGGAATTACTTGCTTATACACACACATACGTTCGTTATTTGGATTATTAACGAAATCGCGTTCCGTTGATTTTATTCTTTTTCAACATCCATTGGTCGCCGATTTCTAATATTAAAATTAAAATTGAAATTTGGGTTTCGAGGCCTTACGCTTTTTTTTTCATGTTTTAATATGAAAATGTATTTTTTTTAGTATAGCTACCCTAAACCTTTATTACCATATTGTAATACATTTTTCATTGATGCCAGCAGGAAACTTCGAGAATTGTTTACGCTGTTTTCACCATTTTATATCCATGTTCGTAGAGTTGAAAAACAAAGCAATAAATTATCTTTAGAGCACGCCGTAAGCTTAATGGAATTCCAGCGGTGTTCGTTAACATGTGACATTCAGAATTACAAAGTAGTTTATCGCGTACGTAAAATATCGATTGTGTTTTACAAATTGTCAACAAAGCCGTAAGAGGATTTACTAACATAATTAAAGTGACTTAGAAAGCACACTTCTAGAGCTTCGCGTATTCTTGAATTTCTCTAATGAAAAAATTCAAATAGCTTTTTTGTCTTAGTAACATCAAAGTGAACCCACTGAATTACTAATGCCGGTACTAATCCACTTATCCATCCACTTTATTGGCTACGTAAGCTACGTCGCTACGTCGTGACCCTCTACGACTATCTACGAGGTAGCGTGACGAACACGACATATAAAATTCGGTGAAGTGCCTACGACCAAACGTAGAAGAGGTTTCGTAATACAAACTATAGCGTCTTGTTGGTAAAAGAATGAATTAGCTACTATATACTATGTAGACCGACGGAACACACAGCTCTTGTGAATATACGGGAATCCTTGAACACAAAAATATATGAGTGAAATCGCGGCCCACCGGCTGAGTTAGAACGCCGCCACCCATTTTGCGACACGATCTGGATGTCTCATTTTTATCTCAGAGCTGCCTACCCACACTCCAAACAAAAATGAACACATCATCTAGGACGAACTCTACAAAATAAAATTAAAATAAAAAATACCTTAGTACCCATATCATTTATGGGCTCAGGTGACCACCTAACACAAGGTGGGCCCTGAGTTCTTCAACCTATCTAAGCAATAAATAAAACACAAGATGAGTCTACCTACATATACAGAACCACTAAACACTCTACGACTAGTAAATACGCATATTTTTTTATGTGCTCCTTCTTATTGTACGATTTCCTTTCTTCATCATGACTGACCTCTGAATAATATGAGGGATTCCAAATAGATGTCCTGCCCTAAATCAATTACGATTTTTGTTGGTATAATTTACTGTGAAGGTGTTGCGTGATCACCATCTGAGTAGGGATGGACTTCATCGAATTTCAAATAAAGTAAATATAATAAGTATATTGTACGTACACATTTATGTTGAGCGATGCACCGGTGTTCGAATCCCAGGCGGGTACCAATTTTTCTAATGAAATACGTACTCAACAAATGTTCACGATTGACTTCCACGGTGAAGGAATAACATCGTGTAATAACAATCAAACCCGCAAAATTATAATTTGCGTAATTACTGGTGGTAGGACCTCTTGTGAGTCCGCGCGGGTAGGTACCACCACCTTGCCTATTTCTGCCGTGATGCACTAATGCGTTTCGGTTTGAAGTCTGGGGCACCTGTTGAACTATACTGAGACCTTAGAACTTATATCTCAAGGTGTGTGGCGCATTTACGTTGTAGATGTCTATGGGCTCCAGTAACCACTTAACACCAGGTAGGCTATGAGTTTGTCCACCCATCTAAGCAATAAAAAAAACAATTAAATGTTAAGAAAGATTTTCCATGAGTTCGCCTCGTTCATATGAAAGTTCCGGACAACTTAATAATTCTATATGTTCATTCTGCGGAATTCGGATTCTATGTGTGGATTCTCATAAAGCTTCAGTTATTGACGGAAAAAACCGGACACGGTCCACAGAGATGCCATAATAATGGAGCCGACTTTTTCAAGAAGTCATATTCGTAGTTTGAAGCGTAATATTGAATCTATCTTTTGCTAATATCGGGTTGTAATGGATTCGTAATTAATTTTCAGGGTCTCTCGATGACAAAAAAAAAAAAAAATTGTAGTCAATTAAAAAAAAGATTAAGACAATTCGTTCTTTTTAGTTTTATTTGTAGAGCAAATAGAGAATAGCATATCGTAAGACAGAATCAATTTAGTATAATAATAATATTGCCTAATACCCCGAACCAGGATCACCAGTTTAAGAAATAATTATTAATTACTATTTAGGTTTGCTCTTATGGCGTACATTATTAAATTTTAATGCATACACACATATATCCATTTATTTCGGGGAATTTAAGGGGCACGTGCCGGTTTTGGAAGTTAGACCTCCCGAGTGCTAGCCAGTCATAATATCGCATGGGATATATTGACGTATCTTTGAAATCTTAATCAGTCAACTGTAAAAGTGTTCTACGCATTTTTAAACCAAAAAGCTTTCAACTATAAAATGTGTCTCATTTGCTTGGCAATACGTTATTCTTTGTAGTTTAATTAAGACCTATTATTTGAGATCGCTTTTGGGTAGACCTATTATTGAATAGGCGGTGTTTTGCGTGGTTTTTGTCAATTTAAAAAATAAATTGTATTGCAATGATAGTATTTTGGCTGTCTGGTGTCATACGAGAATAGCACAACCTCAAATCATCCAGTGGGCGTCGTAAAAGGCTACTGAGGGATTCTCAGAAGAGTGGGCAGCGGCGTTCTTTGAGTACAAACTCTCAGACACAGCCCACTGAGTTTCTCGCCGGATCTTCTCAGTGGGTCGCGTTTCCGATCCGGTGGTAGATTCTGCGAAGCACGGCTCTTGCTAGGGTTCGTGTTAGCAACGTCATCAGGTTTGAGCCCCGTGAGCTCACCCACAAACGTTAGGGTTACGCTGAAATAGCCTCTCAAGGCTCTCAGCTTAGGTAGGAAAAAAAAAATATTTGAGTACACACACACTGCTATTTGCAGGTGGGAGAGCGTATTGTAAATCCGCACGAGTAGTTAAGACAATTCTGCTCATTTCTGACGCGAAATACTCATGTGTTCAGGTTCGAACAGTTCGACAGCCGAATGTTTTACTAGGGAGACTTTGATCGCATGTGACAAGGATGGACAAGATAAGGAATGAGTATATCAAAGGAAGTGTGAAAGTAGTCTCAGTGATTGATAAATTAAAGAGCGAACTGCTATAGCGGGTTTCGTTACGTAGATTTAAAAAAAATGAAAAAATGAAATACAAAGCTATGGAGGTCCGATGACAGTCACGCGCACTGGTTTAGAATAGGATAGGAGAAGACTTGACCGCTCAGGTCGGGAGCTGGCAGAAGACTTGACCGCTCAGGTCGAGAGATGGTTGAAGACTGTCCGTTTGCGGGGCGGACGGAACAGGAGAGCTTGGGAATGCTGATCGTGCAGCTTGGTTAGGACTGTCAGCCAAATAGTATTCATACTAGGGTTATAACAGAACGGTTAGCGTGGTATGGACAAGTGATACGTAGAGAGGAGATGCGTGTGACTAGGAGATGTATGGAAATGGTAGTGCAAGGTAACGGGGGAAGAGGTCGACCGAAGTATACATGGATGGAATATGTGAATGACGATGTGAGAGAAAGACGACTGAGTGTTGATATGACTGCTGATGACGAGAATGGAAAAGAAAAATTCGCTGTGCCGACCGACCCTAGCTAGTGGGATAAGGTGGAAATAAAGAAGAAGGCTTTGATACCATATCTCAAGAGTTGCAGGATTTACAATGTGATTGATATCTATGAGGCTTATTATGTGGGCCGTAAGGTCTTTCAGCTATATTTGCAATAAATAAATATAAACTCTCCGCCACAAACGCCGGACTACGAATATACCTGGCGACTTGCCTATTAGGCCTGGGACACTAACAAATGGTAGCGATAACCATTGTAATATCATAACTTGGCTTTAAGCCAATGAATTCGAATCTAGGCCGGATCGAAAACCCGTTTGTATTGTTTTCATATCAATATATGCAAACGAATTTTCATGGTTTTTTTTTCTTTTTCAAATACTTTTAATGAAAATTGAAGTGGCTTCGGGATTCTTTTTGTTTTTAGTATCGATGATGGCATTCCATTTTCATTTGCATTTTAATCCGAACGTTTTGAAGGTTTTTTTATAAATAATGATGTAATATAAGTAAGTAAGTATATTTGTAAGTATATGTAATTCAAAATCGAAAAGAAAATCTACCCTCCGTTTTGTTTGTAGCAACGACTTGGGTGTATTCGATGTAAAATTTTATCTGTCGGCTTAGGTAGCTGCATAATATTATTAGGGAAGCCGTGTTCGTGTACCGGGCTATGCGAAAAGGGTATTAAAAACCTTTTCGAAATATCTTGGAAATTGAATTTGAAAAATCTTGGAAAATGATTGAATCCTGATTGAATCTAATAGTCAAATTGATTTCCACGGTAAAGGAATAACATCGTGTAATATAAATGAAACCCGCAAAATTATAATTTGCGTAATTACTGGTGGTAGGACCTCTTGTGAGTCCGCGCGGGAGGGTACCACCACCCTGCCTATTTCTGCCGTGAAGCAGTAATGCGTTTCGGTTTGAAGGGAGGGGCAGCCGTTGTAACTATACTTGAGACCTTAGAACTTATATCTTAAGGTGGGTGGCGCATTTACGTTGTGGATGTCTATGGGCTCCAGTAACCACTTAACACCAGGTGGGCTATGAGCTCGTCCACTCATCTAAGCAATAAAAAAAAATAGTCGATTTATTCGCCTAATATAATTGGTAAGAAGCATTTCAAAAGATATTTTTATCTTGTAA